ATTAAAACTCATATAAAGCGTTTTCAGTGTTTAATATAATATATGAGAATACACTAGCATCTTAATGGTGCAAAATACATAATATATAATACTTAAAAACTACAACATAATTTATTATTGTTTGGACTATTCATTCATAAAAAAACATGGATTCTCAAAAGTTAATTGTATGTTTCATTACCTTTATAGCATGAGTAAATAGAGAGAGGTACTTACAGTAATATGCGTAATCACTTAAGTGGAGACTTACAGTTGAGAAAGTTATTCTAGTAATGGAAGGATATTAAGCACTATAATAATGCTCTTAAATGAGAAAATCTCATCCTAATTTGGCTATGACTTCGTGCACTTATTTCAATATCACTATCTAGTATTACTTGATGGTGCTGTAGTTTGTGTTGGTGATGCAGTATCTTTACATACTTTGAGAGTCATTTCAGCTAATGGCTCTAATTCTTTTGTATTTATTAATTCGAATTCTGTTACAAAATAGTAAAAGTGTTTGTAGCATGTATTTACATGTGCTTCCTAGAATAGAAGGGTATTGTTACAGAGAATAGGAGAATATTTCGTTATACATAAAAATATAAAACTTACTGCTCCTATTGCTACAATGCGATCGAAATGATGTATGTAAACGTGGACAAAAACTCTGAATAAACGTGTCAAAATCTTTCTACACAGTGGTATAAATGTCTTTGGAAATGGCACATCTATATAAATGTTTCTTTGTTATGTACAATAAGAATAATTTGGAAATCAAATTGCTATTTTAATTTTTTTAAATTTAATACCTGTGGATACAGGAAACATGCTTTCATTATTAATTTGTGTTTCAATCCAATCCATGAGTAAACTGACATATTGTGGTGCTGGCAATGCAGTAGGCCTTTTATATTTTTCACCATCTGCCCACAAATATTCAAAGCGGGCACCACCACTCATTGTTGGGCATGACGCAGAATCGCAATACTCAGAGACGGTACCATATATTAAATTTATTCTATTAAAGAAGTCTACCACTGAAATTATATTATCAAACATTAGGATTGCTTATAAATTTTGTCAGAATGTTATAAATGAAATTTCCAACATACCATGAACTGCAATCCAATCATTCAGATCTTCACCAGGAGGTAATTTTACAACAGATCTTAAGTTTATTCCTGAATTTAATGAAGCTTGTGCTTGTTTATGCAATGAATACCGTAAAGTACCATGAGCAAATTTCTTTTTTGGTCTAAATGTCTGAGAAAGATACCAATGTTGAATAATTGTAAAATAGATGATTGTTGTCAATACAAGCGGTAAATATGGATGAGTATTTGATAAAAAAAATAGAAAGAGTTATTTCACATGCCTAACAGCAAATCCGTACAAGGATAAACACGTTTCAATAACATTTTACGTCAGGTTAGAATTTTTCAATCCCGTCTAATTAATATAATGCATATGAAGATTTATATTCACCTTCCCTTTTTGAAAAAATTCCATAAAACCACCTAACGCAGTCATTATGACTTAAATATACAGAAAACCTGCACCTCTTACACAAATGCCGGCAATATCTTCATATAAGTATTAGTCTGTATGCATACATCTGCTACGAATTGAAATTTTGAATTAAACACACATTTTTATTGCATTTATCCATTCTTCACTTATTCAAAAACTTCCAAGCACAATGGAATTTATTCGCATATCTATCGTACATGACTATATATATGTTACTTTATTTTAATTGAGGGTCACAGATTTATGATATATGTATTATATATATGTATACAACGTCAACCTGTCTATTCACTATTGGCACTGGGTAGCTGGCTGGGCACTAGGCTAACTAACTACTGTGCTACCAACACCTTTCAATGCGTTAGTCATTCCATGTACATATGCATACAGACATATATGTGTATGGAATATGTATACGTATTTACCATTTAGGATACGATCCTCACATTATTAATTTTACAAGTAACAATATTTTGCAAATCAAAAACATATGTGAAATAATTAGAAGTACAAAAAATTAAGAATGTTACGTTTATATTTATAAAATGTTTACTTGAAGCAATACAAAAA